TCCAAAACCATTCCAAATTTAATTCCACCACATGATTCTTCTGTTCTCCAATTTAGATTAATTTTAAGTTTTTTTATAGGCAGTCTCTTTTTAAAACAGTAAAAGTTCCTCACCAGCTGGAAACACTTTCTCTTTACGTATCCTTCCGTTTTGGAGCTGCCCGACTTCGTCAGCCTTGGCTGGATTTTTTGTCACCGGCTTTAAGAACTTCTCTTGCTTCTTTCAGGGACTTTGCGATATCCCTGAGGTCAGCAAGACGTATTATTCCTGTTCACCATCTCTTTGGGATGGTTTAGGTCCGATTGGACCACCCAGCGGCAAAAGTATTGGCTGTGGTCTCGGAGCATCGAGACCGCACGTCCATAATGTTGCAACGTTGGCCTCTCCTCCCAAATTTTCAGCCTCTCTTTTGAGGGAAAAATGTCCGTCTTATACTCTGAAAAATATGGTACTTTGTTATTCACTAATTCCACTGTTTATATGTGGAGTCTTTTACTTAAAATATAATATGTGCTTTTTAAATTCATCTAAATACTGTATCTAGATTTTTAGTATTTGATTTTAAAAACCGTATTCCTTCATTATGTTAGAATTCAGTTCTACGACTATCATGATATGTTAGCTTTGCTCAAAAGTATTCAATTTATATAACAGTTTAATTGATCTTAACTCTAATTTGTTGCCAGAACATTTTCGGAACCAAAAAACAGATTTGTCCTCTGTTAAATCCTGGACATGCAGATATGAACTTTTGGAGTTCTATCATTTAGAATACCATTAATCAGTCATATATAATCTATGCTATTCAGACATCCTCAAGGTCACATAACAGTAGTATTTGTCTTCACCTCCAAGTCTTGAGAGCTTGAACTTGGGAGGTTGGGAGGAAAAAAATCATGTTATTTCAAAACCATTTCATCAATTCAGCCAAAATATATTCTCTGTAGGCTAAGATATTTTTAAAAAGCTCATTCAAGCCACAGCAGACAGCCTCAAAAACAGACTAATGCTGCTGGAGTTGTGTGGAAGCTATGTTAAATTTGTCTGCAGAAAATTTAATGTTCCACCTAGGAGGAAAAAATGGAGCCTTTCTATATATACACTCATCAGGATACATGTAGGGATTGTCTGAATGGAATTCAAGAGTCTGACAAGGATTACTATTTCAATCTTTATTGATTCATCCATTCCACTGGAAAACAATGTTTTTCTACTAACAAAAGATGAAGAGATGTAGGCCTATGCTGAGAGGCTAAATTACTGAGTGACAGGATCCTTCAGATGTAATTTTCTAATTGACCAAATTAGATAGCTGCCAAGAAAGTACATAAGGAACAACAGAGGAGAAGACTCGCAGAGGGAGTTTTCAACACAATCACTACATATGGAAGTAGTGGCTAATAGTACTCTTGGCAGCCTACTTCAGGGTACACTATGCTTTCAGTGCCTGAGGATGAGAATAACAGAATACCCTTTATTTAGCCAAATTTAATATGATAATTTTTTTAGAAGACTTGGATGCAAGAAGGAACTAGTCTTAATGGATGTTATTAGACCTCCCTGACAATAAAAGGAAGTCAAGTCAAGGAGATACAACATTGAGGGGCTCAAAATATTTATTTCTACTAAATTCTAAGTTTTGGAAATTAATCTTGACCCATTGAATTTTGCAATAGTAGCATTAATAAAATTCAGCCACTGAAATCTTATGGCACATCAACACACTTCCTCCCTCCCGAGAATCTACTTAAGAAGTAATCAGTAATATGTCAGTAATTTCAGTGTCAGAAGTACAGTAGGTGAGCAAAGAATGTCCACAATGTCTTCCATATCTAGAATCTTTCCACTTTGCAGCTTGCCATTCTCAATATGCTGCTAACTAACTATGCTGAATTGTACTTAGTGCGGAACTTCAGCAGACTGAATCTGATTATTTTAAATGGTGTCACAAAGGGAGATTTTCTATGAGTACCCTGGGTTATAGGGACTGGCACTTACAGCTTTCTGTAATTTGTAGACAGTAGAAAGCTGTTTGAAAGATTACTACTATCATGGACTTTAAGCCTTCATCAAACAGGGCAAGAAAGATGTTTTTCATCCTGCAATATAAGATGTGGAACTGCTTATTTAAGGTAGTCAATGGAAATATGGCAGAAATGTTGAATTTGATGCAAATTTTACAATTTGGGGCATCTATTGTAGAGACATTAATTGATTCAGAATCCTCAATTGGAGCATTCCTTGTTAGCTGATTTCAGTTCATAGATAATTAAGAACAGTGTTAAGTATAAAATACTCTGAATAATGCAGTGCTAATTGTAACTAAACATGAACTTGGATATTTCTAGATTTTTAATAGTACAAGTATCTGATTGCAAACTAAAATAGTTGGCAGCGGGCTTCCGGTGGTGACGTCACCGTGTTTAGAGCGGAGGAAAAGGAGCTCTTCTAACCTCTAACTCTAACCTCTTCGTTTGGGCTCATTTTTGAGTGCTGTTGATCCTGAAGGGGCCAGCAGATTAAGGGGGATACTCTGTAGACGCTGGGGTGATAAGGCAAATCCTTCAGCGAATAGGAGAACCCCCCCTAAATGGACGAGGAACTATCCTGCCATTTAGTTAGGACCAGATCGATGGCGACCACGTAAGAAGGAAGGAAACAGAGAGAGAAGCAGTTGAAATCGGATACTTGTTACTATTACTGACAACCCAAAGAGGAGGGCAACNATATCTCATATATTAGTTTCACCTTTTAAATTGCATTACTGAAATAAATGCACTTTTGCACGATATTCTAATTTTTCAAGTTTCACCTGTATATTCAGCACGTACCTGTAGGTTGAATAAATAACAGAGTATACAATCTCCTTGCCTTCCAAAGCCTGTCTGTTTTGTCACATCTCATTTTGACTGTGGCTTCCTATCCTCTGTATAGGTTTTCCATGAGGACAATAAGAAGTTTTGGGAATCCCATTTTCAAAGAAATGTATAGGACCTCCCATTTTTGGAGGACCACAGTAGTAATGCTTTCTTCTATACAATATTTAATATACTAAGTGATCTTGAATAACTCTCCTTTATTTGCAATAGAATAAGATAGTTGTTTCTCAGTTATGTGATTTGCAATGGCTACTCAACAAATGTCAAATCATTATAGATGAATCCATCCATTTAAATATTTATCAACCACTAGCCATTGCCATGAGCATCTCAAAAAGAATATAGGAGATTGACATATATCACTAGAACAAAGCAATTGATTAAAAATGTAAGTTTGATTATAATGGATGCAAGGTAGATAAATTCTCTTTTTATGTTTCTAGAACATAGAACATCATAGCTAACAACGGAAGTAAAGCGTGTTGCCATATCTTCTTTTTCTAAAAAGGCAATTAAAGGACTCAAAAGCAAAGCATCAGCACACATATTCCAACTGGCATCTGGCAATTTGGCAAACCCTCCTGGCAGACAGTTTGACGTTTATAAAATTATCTTTATGTCTGTCAATATGGTTAGCTTGTGGATAGTTGTCAGCTATTGCAGCCTACTCAGTAAAAAAAATTTCAAATAGGATTTGAGGAATCAGGTCATAAGTCACAAATTCACGTGCAGTGAATGTTACAGATGACTTCGGTGGATATACAAGGA